AGGTGCTTAGTAAGTGTTCATTCAGCTTGCATCTAGAAAACCATGCAAGGCACTATCCCTAGGTGCTTAAATTATATGAAGACCATTTTTTTTTTCTCATTAAGTTTTTTTTAATAATCTTATGAACTAACATAACATAGAAAATTAGGTAGTACATGAATTTCACAACTCCCCCATCTCTACAGACAGCTAGGTATAGCACATTACAGCTTAATGCAGTAAGGGAAATAGCATGTAAAATTCTATTTTCTCCTTAAGTTTATAATCCAACAGAAAAGTACTTAACAACTTTTTCTTTTTTAAAAAAATAATTTATTATTGTTATTATTATTTTTAAATTTGCTATAAGGGTACATGCACTCACCAGATAAAGACACAGAGAGAGAGTGAGAAAGCAAGACACCAGGTCTGGGATTCGAACCACATTCGGCCATGTGGGAGTCCAGTGTATGAATGCTTTTTTTTGGGGGGGGGGATTTTGTTGTAGAGTGCATGTGCTTACCAGAGAGACAGAGAGATAGAGACAGAAGCGAGGAATCACTCCCCCAGAGGGGATGGCTATGCCACAATCCCTTCTCCATTGTCTTCTCAGGATTTTGGGCACACACGTGCACATGCCTGGTGTGAGTTTTAAGCCACCAGGTCCAGGACTCAAACCATAGTCGACTACATGGGAGTCCAGCAATGTAACCATTATGCTATCTGCTGATTCCATAAAGGCTATTTTTAAAAATATGAATTGAGAGAACAAGGACTGAGAGCAATTTATTAGGAAAGACTTCATGGAGGATGTACAATTTAAAGAGGCTCTCGAATTTAGATTATCAAGCTGTAGGTATTTTAAGGGTAAGATCCATCCTGATATGGAGGGGTCTGGACTCCCACCCACTGCTGGTTTCAGGAAGTCTCACCAGCTTTTTAGCCCTGAGTTACTATCTGTTGCTTCCCCACATAATTCTGCATCCAGTGGTGAAGCCCTATGGGCTAATCCTTGTTAGCATTACTGTTTCCGTGGCAACCATCAAATGGTGCATAATCCTGGTGAGGCAAGATATGAGAAGTATTTTCATCAACAAATGCTCAGTTTTGTTGGTAGAATGTCCCACTGAGAGATTATTAGACTACTTAGCTTCTGTGTCCAAAATCTAAACTCTACTTTGCCACAAATATGTGTTTGAATATTTCATTGGAAATACTTTTAAGAAAAAACCTTGCCATGGATTTTTTTCCATAAGGAAAAATAACATTGTGCTTGAAATCTAATTGAATAATTTGTACAGAATGGATACAACAAATAAGGTAAATCTGAGAGGGGAAGGGGGGTTTTATGTCTTTTTTTTTTTTTAAGTTTTTGTTAGAGTGTACCCAGTCACTGGAAACAGAAAGAGAGAGAGAAAGTGAAAAAGCGGATTGGTCACCTGCAGTCCCATCTCAGTTCTACCTCCTGTCAGGAATTTGACATGTATACCCACATGCCTAGAGTATTTCTCAAGCTACTGGGTCTGGAACTTGAACCGTGTAGTTGGCCATGTGGGAACCAGCTGCCTTACCACCATGCCATGGGCTTGCTTAATTTTATATCTTGTTTATATAGCATTTGTGACAATTAATTAGGGCAGTCTTGGAAAATGGGCGTGCTTTATCTTCTGTTGGTTTTGCTCTACTTAAAGGGACAATTTGACGATAAACTTTTTTTTTTTTTTTTTTTTTTAATGATAGTGCATGCATGAGAGAAGCACCCTTGACAAGGTCTTGCCACACCACGATCCTAGCCCTCCAACTTTCCCTAGCCCTCCAACTCCTCAGGATTCTTGGGTGTCTGCCTTTGTACCTGGCATGTTTTTCAGTGGACCTGGGAATTTGAACCAGTGGCTGGCCATGTGACTTATAACACTGCAGTCCAGTTAGCTATCACCTAGGCCATCTAGGCTAGCCCTAAGATAAAATTCTTAATATTTATAAATGATTTCTTTTTCCTGCTGTTGAAAATCAAATTCATTCTGCGGTATGGGGATTTTACAGAATTTGTTTTGTTCCTTGTTATGGACATAACCCTAAGTTGCAAATGAGTTAATATATACATGCTTTCCCTGTACTCAACGAATTTGTTTACTATGTGCCTGGCTCAGGTGAATATTGTGGTTAAGGCAACAAACAAAACAAGCCCTGACCTTTTGGAACTCCCATCAAAGGCAAAGAGAGAGGCAGTAGCTCAATTAACAAAGAACCATATGTCAGGCGTGATAAGTGCTGTAGAGAAAAATTAGAGAGACCGAATAGAGATTGACAGGTAGGTGAACAAAGGAGACCTCTCTAATAAGGTGACATTTGAGAAGAGACCTGAGCGAAGTGAGGGAACAGGCCTTGTGAATATCCAAGGGAAGAATGTTTCAGACAGAGGAGAAACAAATGCATAGATCCAATGCAAGAATATGCTAGACAGAGGCCAGCAGGTGGCGTGGTGGTTAAGGAAGCTGGATCCCCACAGGGCCGACCACAGTTCGAGTCCCAGACTTTGCTGCTTGCTTTCTCACTTTCCCTCTCACTCTCTCATTCTGTCCTTCTCTGGTCAAATTAAGATAAATAAACTAAATAAATAAAGTTCAATAAAATAATTCTTTTTTTTTCTTTCTTTCTTTTTTTGGAGAGGTTTTTGCTATAGGGCTTGCGCGGTCGCCAGAGAGACAGAGAGATAGAAAGCGAAATATCACCCCCCTGGGGGGATGGCCACGCCACAATCCCTTCTCCTCCGTTCTCCTTTTGGGATCTTGGGCACACACGCACATGCGCCCAGCGTGAGTTTAAGCCACCAGGTCTGGGACTTGAACCACAGTCGGCTACGTGGGAGTCCAGCGACATAGCCGTTACACTAACTGCTTGTCCCAATAAAATAATTCTTCTTAAAAAAAAAAGAATGTGCTGGACAGTGCTGAGGACAAGAAGGAGGCCAATATGAATAGAACCAAATGACTATGGTAGATAAAAGAGGAGATCAAGGCCAACCTGTGGCATGGTGGTTAAGGCAGATGGATCCCTCATGGCACACTGTGCAGTTTGAGTACTGGGCCCATGACTTAAAAAAAAAAAAAACAGGGCATGTGTATGTGCGTGCCTAAGATCCCAAAAGGGGAAATGGAGAAGGGCTTGTGGCATGACCACCTCCCTTAAGGGGTGCTTTTTTACTTTATCGCACTTGCTAGCTCTGTCAAGCACATGCATCTTCTAGCAAATTTAATTTCAAAATAAAAAGAGGAAATTAGAACTAAGGTTTGGGAGGGCAAGGAGTCTCGCAGAATCTTATAAGTTATGATAAGGACTCTGTCGTATTCTGAATAGATGAGAAAGTTTCTAGAGGATTTTGAGCAGTGACACAAACTGACTTGAGTTTTTAAAGAATTGCTCTGCTGCATGGGCAAGGGTGGAAACATGGAGACTAGTTGGGTGATTATACATCAGTCGTCAAGGTGGACTCAGTAAAGGTAGAGGTAGGGAGAAGAAGTAGGATGCTGGGCAGTTATGTCACCCAATAAATACTTGTATAGCACTTTCTGTGTGCCAGGCACTTCTAACGTTTGTAAATATCAGCTCATCTCATGCTTGTAACAATCCTCTGAGGTTAAGTTCAAAGGTAGAATCTGTAGGATTTGTACATGGATTGGATGAGGGGTGTGAAGGGAAAAGAGGAATGAAAAACTCCTAAGAATGAAGTTGCCATCTCCTGAGAAGGGATGGAGGCCCTAGAATCAGGAGCTCAGGTTTTAGACATGTTAAATTTGTGCAGTTCAACTTCCAAGAAGACTCAGGGGAAGAAGTTCTCGGTATGTTGAGTAGGCACTTGGGTATAGGAACCTGAAGTCAAAGGAGAAGTCAGGGCTGGAGATAAATGACAAAAGAGATCTCAAAACACTCAAAAGAAGTGCTACCTGATGTCTGTTTTTGATGCTAAACCTGACAAGAAGTAGACATAAGGCAGTCATTTCCCTTGGGTATGGTTGTGTAATAGCATTATCATTGGCTTTGGGGTAAGGTCTCATTTGAATCCTGGCTCCATCATGTACTAGTTAATTATGCAACTTAATCTCATCTAGCTTCAGTTAATTCAAAAAAGAAAGGGATTAATAGTATTTATCCTGTGACTTTTTATTTTCAAATCTTATTCATGATAGAGACTGCATGCATAGTGAGAGAGAGAAATAGACAAGCACCCAATAGGGTTTTATCATGCCACAAACCCGTTTCTCGAGACCTCTAGTCAGATCTTAGGCATACACACACACACAGTATGTTTTCAGCCTGACTGGGGAATCCAAACCCGCAGTCAGCCTTGCGGCTTCCAGCACTGCTGTTAAGTTTGCTGATGACTTTTTCTTTTTTTCTTTTTTTTTTTTTTTGAGAGGTTTTTGCTATAGGAAGTGTGTGCTCGCCAGACAGAGAAAGACATAGAGACAGAAAGCGAGAAATCACCCCCCAGGGGGATGGCCACACTACAATCCCTTCTCCATTCTCCTCTCTTGGTCTTTGCATGCATGCACACACGTGCCCAGCATGAGTTTAAGCCACCGGGTCCGGGACTCGAACTATGATGGACTACACGGGAGTCCAGCGACATAGCCATTACGCCAACTGCTGGTCCCACTGCTGACTTTTAAGACAAAATGAAATACCATATGTAACTTAGAGTAGTACTTGGTCATAGAAAGTGCTTAAAGAGTGTTTATCTTCCTTTCCCTCAGGTTTACTTTGTTATATCCAACTCTAACAGAACATGGTCTTTTCTTCCAAAACAAAGGGAATCTGAATTTACCGCCTACTCCCACATGCACTTTTTTTGGAAAGGGAGGGGAGTACCTATTTAATGACAAGTTAAAAAAAAAAAAAAGATTTCAGACATATTTCCATTAAATGATAATGACCTTATAAACAAAGGACTTTAGTGAGGTCATAGAGGACACAGGAGAAGAAGTTCTGGGTTCTGGCTTTTAGAAGATTCCACGTGCAAAAGCAGAGCGAAGGTACAGGTAAAGCACCAAGCAGCAAGTCTGTGGATCAGTCATGGGTAATTTACATCAAAGCCTAAGTAAATCTACTTGAGCCATGGCGATGACCTATAGGAGAAAATAATGCCCTTTACTGAGTCTGGGCCATTCAAATCAAAGGGAATTAGCTCATTAATTCTCTGGCAATCCTGATGGAGCCTTGCTAACCGGGCACTTCTGGGGTTTAGCCTAATCCCATTTCTGTTTTCTATAGTCAGAGCTTGACTTTCACAAAAAGTACTCGCTTAAGGTGTTCAGATTTTATTTCATACAGTGGACATTTATTTGAGCACCTACTATGTGCCATGTACTTTATTAGGGAAACAAAGGTAAATAGGAGATACAGTTCTTGCCCTTAAGTCCTTCACAGTCAGACATATAAACAAATCAAAAGAGACTGTGATAACTGCTGTAATTAAGAGTACTATAGGTAATGATGTATAGTGAATTAATGTAAAAAATAAATTTAAAGGAATAAATAAATAAATATTCCCCCCCCCCAAAAAAAAAGTACTATAGGACTGTAAATAATAATTTTACCCTGGGAGATGGTGAAAGCAATATTGAGGTCACCTCTCTTCTGGACTATGAAGGTCAAGAATTAATCAGGAAGACCAGACAGTGGCATGGCAGTAAAACAGGATGTTCTACAAGGCTGACCTGGGCGGGGAGGTTTCAGGTTTGTGTCGGAGACCTCCTTGAGTACACCAGGCACATGTGTGCTCGTGATCCATGGCTGGCAGAGGCTGGGAGTGGATAACAGTATCAGGGTCCTGTTAGGGGTTCTCTCTCTCTCTCGGAAGAAAGAAACAAACAAACAATCAGGTGACATCCCAGATGGAAGCAGATCATGAGCAAAGTTAAGGAGGCATATTCAGGGAACATGGCTATTGGGAGGAAAAGGCATCATTTGATTAATAGTCTTGCTTTTGTGGTGGTGGTTTGGGGAAAACAGTTTTCTCCTAACCCTTCTACAGCTCCAAACAAGAACATTTTAACTTCCTAACCTTCTTTTTATTACTAGATAAGTTTCCTAACTAAAAAGGGGAAAAAAGGCATTAAAAAATATTAGTTTTTCTTCATTAGGATTAGACATGACAGTTTATTTATTTATTTGTTGGAGAGGTTTTTGCTATAGGGCACATGCACTCACCAGAAAGTCAGAGACAGAGAGAAAACAAGAAATCACCCCCTCGGGGATGGTCATGCCACAATCCCTTCTCATCCATTCTCCTCTTGGGATCTTGGGCATACATGCACACACGCCCGGCGTGAGTTTAAGCCACCCGGTCCGGTGCTTGAACTGCAGTCGACTACATGAGAGTCCAGCAACTTAGCCATTACACTAACTGCTGGTCCCATGACAGTTCTTTTTATTTTTTAATTAATTACCAGAGAGCACATGCACTCACCAGACACAGTGCACGCACGTACACACGCGCACACACACACACACACACACACACGCGGTGGGGCATAGTCACGCTGCAACCATTTTTCCTCCATTTCTCCATCCCGTCAGGATTTGAGGCATGCGTGCACACTTACCTTGCCCGTTTTTCAAGCCAGCAGACCTGGGATTCAAACTGCAGTCAGCCATGTGGGATAGTGCTTTCCTATGCACAGTGCATAACTGCTGCACTAGTTATTTTCTGAAGGAATCCTGTGTCCCTGTGGCACTGCTATTCTAGCAAAGAACTCCTGTTTACTAAGCCCATTCCTATCACTTTCCTAAAAGTTTACTAAGTGGAATGGTATTCAAAGTGTCTACCTTTCCCTGGCCTTCCTATTTACCATGAAAAGATGCTCAATTTCATTTCCAAACATCCATGCAATCTCCTTTCAAAGCATGAACATTTTCCATTCCAGGAAGTTCATCTTACTCATAGTATTTTCAACCCTGGTGGCCCTGTTGTTGGGGACTGTGTAGTGCCTTGGTTTAGCTGGGTAGTAATTCTTTTAGCTTGGCTACGTTTCTGTGTTCTCTCCCCTCTTTACCCCTAGGACCTTTGAGGCTTTCTCTGTCATTGCTATACCACCATCCATGGAAGCGTGTTCCTGAATTCTCTGTAGTTCTGCCTCAGGGCGGACTTTCTCTTCAAGCTGTATTGTTTTTGTTTTTGCTTGTTCATTTGTTTGTTTTTCCAGTTAGCTAGAGGGCACGTGCGGTCAACAGGACAGACAGAGTGAGAGGTAGAAGGCACCCCGAGTGAAGTGGGTTCATGCTCCAATGCTTTCACAGTTTCTCCTACCTGTCAGGATTTTGGGCACACATGTACTTAGTATGTTTTTCAAGCTGCTGGGGTTTAAACCATGCCCTTAGCCATCTGGGAGCCAGTTCCTTTAACTAGGCCATGGAGCCTAGTTAAAGAGCCTTATCAGGCTCTTTAAGGTCTGTCCTTATTGAAATGTTTTTACGTTTATTTTATTTATTTATGAAAGAGAGAGGGAGAGAGGTTGATTTTGGGCAGGGTCTTGCCATGTCAGGATCCCCCTACTCCAGCCTGACAACAGGACCATAGGTGTGTGCCCCCACACCTGGCCTGTTCAGGTTGGGCCAGGAACCAGTCCTGGGCCTCCTGTGCAGCCTCAGCCTCTGAGCAGTAGCATCCCAGCAGGTGCACCACCACAGCTGAGCCAAGCACTCCTTTACACTTAATCTTTTTTTTTTTTTTTTTAGAGGTTTTTGCTATAGGGCGCATGCGCTCGCCCGACAGAGAGAGAGAGAGAGACAGAAAGTGAGAAATCACCCCCCAGAGGGGATGGTCACACCTCAATCCCTTCTCCTCCATTCTCCTCCATTCTCCTCTTGGGATCTTGGGCACGCACGCACACGCGCCCAGCGTCAGTTTAAGCCACCAGGTCTGGGACGCGAACCACGGTCGACTACATGGGAGTCCAGTGTCATAGCCATTACACTAACTGCTGGTCCCTTTACACTTAATCTTTTAGATTTTTCTTTTCTTTTGTTTTAAAGAATATTCATTCATTCATTCATTCATTTATTCATTCATACAGACAGACAGACCAACCGACCAGACCAGACCAGAGAGAGACAGAGACAGAAAGTTAGAAAGCAAGCTGCTGGATCCAGGACTTGAACTGCAGTCGGCCATGTGGGAGTCCAGCACGCTTAGCCACCATGCCACCTGCCAGCCCCCAATCTTGTAGACTTTTCTATGCCAGTGACTTAAACATTAGACCTTTAGTCAGGGTTGATCTTTGAAATTATTAGAGCTGGTTTATAGTAATGATGAAGACAATTACACAGTAACAACAGCTAACACATTTGCAAAGTGCCAGGCCATCAGATTAACACAGAGCACTGAATCTTCTGGTTAAAAAAATAATAATAATAAAATAAAATTTTTTAAAAACCTGAATCAAAGCCCTAATTGTAAACACTGTGTATTGAGACTATCTGGAGCCTGTTTTATTATATGAGTCCTCATAGAACACTTTAAAATAGAACTAAAAAGGCTGTTCTCTCTGACTTCTGAAATATTTTTATTACCTGGGGTAGGGATCTCACATTGAATAATGGTCCTCTTTCATAAACAACAGCGGATTAACATCCATCCTTTTTTCTTTTTTCAATTAAAGCTTGTGCTGCCAGAGTTGCTGGTCTTTGCTGCTGAGGGATTTGCATTAACGATAATGATTAAAAGGATGATAATAACAAAACTGTTACTATGCTCTAATTTTAGAGTTAATTTAAGTACTTAATTAGATATGGTCCCTACCTAGTGGGTAAATACTTTCTAAAGGTCAAAAGACTTTTACACATGTTCCGTATAAACAGGACTGCCAGTATTGCATTGACGTTATCAGGCATTCTCTCATATCTGTAATAAATATTAGTGGCATCAGACTTTCTTCATTTCAGGCATCTCTAAAAATCATCCAATATTTGGTTTTTGTTTTGTTTTTATATTTTTTGCTATAGGACATGTGCACTCACCAGAGAGACAGAGAGAGAAAAAGTAAGAAAGCACACTCCAAAGGGATGGCCACACCACCATCGGTTCTCCTCCATTCTCCTCTTGGGGTTTTGGACATGCATGCATACACACTTACCGGCATGACTTTCCAGTTTCTGGCCAACTGCTGTTGGCCATGTGGGAATCCAGCACCTTAACTACCACACGATCTGCTGGCCCCACATTGCTTTCATTTTATTAAGCATTTCGATGGAGAAAAGGGACACAGTGAGGTGCTGAGACAGGTGTGACTGTAGAGACCACAGATCTAGGTGGGAATTCCAGTTGCAGCAAGTCACCAACACCCAACACACCCTTAGAAATTTGACTTGCCCTTGGGATCCTCGACTCCAAGTGGAGGAGTTCAGATCACCTACTTCCTCAGCTTCTTGTGAAGATTTAGTGAGATAATACATGTTAAATAATTAGAATGGGAAAACAAATGATAGATGCTCAGCATGTGAGCCATTGCTGTAGCTGTCATCACATCCTTAATTGTCACTTCACTGCCACCACCAAGGTACCCATTATCTATCATTCTCTGGCAGAAAAATGATTGAGAATTTCTCTCTCAAAGTAACATTCAGTTATTTGGGCAAAGTATTAAAGTAGTAGATCTTTCCTGTGATAATTTCTAAGTTAATTGGTTCATTTTTTTCCCCCTTTTGACAGATAAGTTAAATGAATGCTCATGTGTAACTAATGCAATTTCCTTTCCTCCATTTAACAAGAAAGTGTGTAGTTAACAGATCTGCTTTGGCCAACCTAAACAATCTTAATCTAAATGTTCTAGTTTGGGAAGATGTTCTTATGTTACTAATCATGTCAATAAGAACAGTGATTGTGGAACAGCTCTGCTCAGTGGAAAGGAAATAATTTGTCCTAGATGGTCCTCTGACCAAATTAAGCTTTTCAGGGAGAAGAAGCGTACTTTCAGTTTGTTTGCCAACTTGAGGATTCATTAAAAGTAGTATCCATTAAATAATAACAACCCAAGCACTCCGATGATACAAGGAGCTCATTTTAGATAGTTCGGGAGC